TCTTAAGAATATATATATATATATGGGGGGGAGGGGGGGAGAGGCAGTTCAAGCTGATTCTTTACACGATTCATACAAAAATTCAACTACAGACCCGCAGATCTAACCACAGAATTAAGATCCCAAAGTCAAGTATGACTTGAAGGGATGTTTTGGACAGCCAAAGCCTTTTATCCTAGAAACAGAAGAGCGTGATGATATATAGTATAAGTAAAATTACATGAGAAGTAATAAACTCACTGTGGTTTCTTGTTTAAAATTCCCATTCATTGTATACCCTGCATTTTTCAAAGCAGTAAATGATCAGTGGTTGGAATAAAAATAGTGAAAAAAAACAAACCCCCCAAACCAAAAACCTTGTGTAATGATGATCTTCCTTCTTCTCCGCTGCTTCCTTATGCTATGGGGCCCATTCCAATCCCTGAGTTTTTCTGATTGGTGTGATATCTGGCATGGGGGACTGGGGGGAAGTGATTTAAACCCAAATGTGAATGGGAGCTGAGATTTACCAGAGGGTTTGCTCTTAAGGGTGGCAGGCAGGAAAGTGGAGTGGGTGATGTGGTGTGGAGCTTTCTAGTTTTGGGGGTGGCTGGGGGTGGTTTTACTGTTATTGTTTGTCATTTATTGCAAACTGCTCTGAGCCTTCCTGCATGTGAGACGATGACAATGATAGGTATGATGATGATGATCATCGTCACGATCTTCATACACCCAGCCCACACTTTGATTCCAGTGGGCATTTTGAGTGCACAAGGAATGCAGTATCACTTTTCAACTACCACCTCTTATCTAAAAATATAATTCAGAGAGTCATGTATTGGCTTCAATAGGTGTAGGTTCAGGCCTAAAATGAGAGAACGTACAGGTTTAGGTTGCCATTGCCTCTCTTGAGTGAAATTTAGTTTGTTGGAACTGGACTTTTATGTAAAACAAGTTCAGGTGCAGTGAAAATTATTGCATCAACAAGAAAACCATTATTTTACTAGCTGAGTAACATTTTCTGCATTATTTAACACGCTGGTTTAATCCCAGTGGAGCCAAACTTCAAGCAGAATCTCATGAAGGAGAGAGGAATGTGCAATTCTTGTTTGCTTTCAGTTTTCTGTTTGAGAAGATTTGTGCATGCAGCCATCACTTACCCTATTGTTACATTTGCTTTTTTTTCATAAAGTAACGGCCATTCCATTGTCTATCTCAACTTTGATGTTTTTTAAGCTCCAAAATCCCGTCTTAAGTGCCACTGGTAACTGTTTAAAAGAATGATCTGTGGTCAGATACTTGGCAGCCCCTGAACCAACTGCTGCACTACCTCCTATGCTCGGTACTCCCCCGCATTCAAAATCATCACTCTTGCCTTTCAGTGTGATTATGTCACCTTATCCTTGTTGCTGCGAGTTACTTCTGTGTATCCCATGGTGCTGCACATCAAACCTATGCTTCTCGTTTAGACCTGAAGGGCTCTGGCACCCAGGCATAGTTCTGACCTGCTTTCTTGGGATGGCCCTACCATGCTGCCAAGAAATCAAGGCCTTGTATCACTTCAGCTCCCTTCTTTCACAAATGTCTCTGACTTCTGTTGTCCCAAGTGTAGTCACCAAACATATTCACCAAATCTCATTCCCACTTCTCATTCAAATCACTCACCTACTGCACCCAGAAAAACCCAAGCCCTACCATCGTGCTCACAAATATTGATGATGGAGGAAAAGTACTTAAAACGAAAAACAACCAAGTTGCTTTTACTGGTAGAAGTAAGTCCCGTGTGGCATTTCAGTAACATTTTTGTACATGTTTCTCCATTATTTTAAAATGTATTTTCTTCAGTGCAAAGATTTCAGATGTTTACATAGGGCTCCTTTCCTGTTATTGAAAACCCACAGTAGTCAATATTCGATATGCAATATTCATTCCACTCTGATGAATGTTAATGAGAAATACATATGTCTATCAACTGAAGAATGAACCCATGCCTACTTGAATCCCGCTATGTGTTTAGATAATAATTACTTTATCACTGATTTCTTTGCAAGCAAGCTGGCAAGGTAATGTTTACTTTCTTAGCATACAGTATAATCTGCATCCTGAGTTTGATAGACACCCAAGGAGCATCCTGAATGAAACCGATAGACCTGGTTTCTTCCCACCTGCTGCACATACTATTTACGTATTCAAAACAAAACCTCTTCTACTTGTCTCTGCAGCTCGGTAATTTGAAAATTCTACCATCTTCCTGTCTTTTCTAAAAGTAGTTTGGAAACAAATCATTTAGAAATTAAATTTTATTCTCTTTGTGTCTGTTTCTGATGTTGTTTAGAAGCAAATTATTTGGAAATTTAATCAAAGCAAAAAAAAATCCCTAGATGATAAGGAAGTATGTTATTAACCAGAACTTCTAATGCTATCATTTTACCTAGTGAAGTTAAACACTACTTACTACTTCAGTATCTCAGATTTCTTTCTCAGTGTCCATAATTACACAGTTAATGAGATTTACCTTGTTTTGAAATGAAGTTCCTTCATAAATAGTACTTGCAATATGTCACTAATGTACATATAATGGTGTAATACTTCATGGAAAATGTGCCAGGAGTTTAAATGAGGATTGATGGTGAAGGGAATCATTGGATCTACATTCCCTACATTCCCACTGAAGCACTTCTTTCCCCACTTCTGGACTAGAGCTTTGTTCTGGGGGCACAGGATGGGAGGAATGGAAACTCTTCCAGACGTTCAACTGTGAGCTCTCAAGAAATCTTGTGCGGATGATAATGATGACCTAGGGATCCTGGTTTTCTCTGATTTAAAAAAATCCCCAATTTTCAGATAAAAAAAACCAAAACCCAAATTCACATGTTTCCAAGTTTAAAATGAAACAATATATGTATGTATGTATGCATGTATATGTATGTATATATAGAAGTGTTTCATTTTAATACAGGGGTTTAGGTTGTAGCCGTGTTGGTCTAAGGACATAGGCAGACAAGGTTCCTTGGGTGAATTTGATATCTTTTATTAGACCAACCCAAATGGTTGGAGAATAGTTATTAAGCAAGCTTTCGGGTTCAAAAACCCTTCGTCAGGCTAAGGAAGCTGCAGCAGTTGGTGTGTGCTCTTCCTGGATGGAATACACACACATACACACATATATAATGTGTGTGTATATATTTAAATGAAACACTTGTATACACACACACATACATTAGTGAGGATTCATTTTACTCATGGAAAAATGTGGATTTGGGGTTACTTTTTTTTAACTGAAAATTGGGGATTTTTTTTAATGCAGAGAAAACCAGGATCCCTGATGATGACCCCATTGTTGTTATCTCCTGTAGGTTTCCCCTGCTTGGCCTGAGGGTGGGAGTTAGTTATAGAGAAGTAGGGCTAGAAGAGACCTCAAGAAATGATCTAGTCCAAGGAATCCAGTGCTCTGGGACAGCTGCATTTTACCCATTTTTTTTCTTTTTTACAATCGCGCAGATAGAAATGTGTCAGCCATCCACTCCCTTGGTCTGTTTTAATACAATCCCCTAATGTGTCTGGCTAAGGGCCAGCACATCTCTTTTGGACTGGATGCATCCTGTTCTGTATGTGGGCATTAGGCTTCAACAGCCAGGTACTAACTATGATTACCGCAGCGAGCTGATTCAGTAGCTGCAATTCTGTTCTTTCTAGAGCAGTGACCAGTGCTGACAATAGTTACCAAAATATCTTCTTAAAGCAGAAAATATAATATATTTTGAACAGAAGCATTCCAGGAAATGGGCCTTAAAATAATAAAACAGACTATGCATATGCCTGGCTTCCTAGATGTCTTTCCATTTTCCACACTAGGGTCCTGGTTGAGCTGAGGTTCCAACAGAGCTGAGATTTTGTATAATCCTACAAAAATATGGATGAAAGGGACCTCATGAGGTCCCTACTTAAAGCAGGACTATTCGTGTCTAAACAGTCCCATGTAAATGTCTGTACAACCTGCTGTTAAACACTTCTAGTGATGGAGCTTCTCGGCTCCAGTGCATACCGATCCTCATGGTTGGAAAATATTTCCTGATATCTAACCTGTATCTCCCTTGTTGTAATTTAAAGCCCTTCCCATTTCTCCGGGATAGAATAAAATATTGATCAACGGCTTTATAACAAACCTTTTGTATTTGAAGACTTATCATATTCCCCACTCAGTCTCTTCTCCAGACTAAATTAGTTCTTCCAACCTGTTCTCATATGTCATGTTTGGTGGAGCTGTAATTATTTTTGTTACTGTCCTCTACACTCTTT